AATTCGTCCTCTAGGCCTATATGTGGATAGTATGTATGGTATATGAGCTGTAACACATGTTGAGTAAACAAAATGTGTACAAAACTGGGAAATGAGGAAAATCAAATAATAGGCCTATCATAAAAAATCTGGTAATTACGTTAAAGAATTCAACTTTCAGGGCATTCTACTTGACTTGTGATGATGTCATGATGTCAAGTATTGAGGACTACAAAAATGCACAGTATCTATGCCTTAAGGTTGTTTGGCTTACATGTACATGTAAGTTTGATGAAATGCCAACTTGCAATGGGACTGAAGTCCTGAGGAGAAAAAAGTACAAAATCAATTGATGCATTTTTATGGAGAAGAACAAGAAGAAAAGGAAAAGGGAAAGAAAATCAAAACAAAAGAATGCCCGTTTTGCACCTTGGGAAATACAAAACAAAATGAAGCAAAATGAAATCTCTTTTTGGGAGGTGGCATGAGATAAATTTCCCTCCCTTTTAAAAACCAAGCCTCTTCTGAAACCTGGATTTCTCTTTGCATGTGCTGTATATGTTTATTTATACATTAGGGTGTAGTGAATTTCAAAAAAGTTTGAATTTGAAGTTCTTAATAGGCTATAATGATGTTCTGGCGATATTTAAGACCTACATTGAAAAAAATCTCAAAAACTTTACCTAACCTAAAAATGGATTGAAATTTCTCCCAAAAAGTCACGGTGAACCAGCGCATTTTTTCAAAAGGTTTTTAAGCTCTGGTTTCCTTTTTTCTGTGGCGGTTTCTCTGGTTTTCTTTGTTTTTCTTTGTCTCCAGCCACTATTTTACTCTGTATAAAGTTATTTGAAAGTAGAAAATTGTAGATTGCCTTGCTAATATTTACTCCATGTCCTGACTTCAGGTAACATGCTGCAAGTGATGTCCATCAAGCTCTGCAACAATCATAGTGGTCTTCTGTGACTTACCTTGATTGGGCAGACTTTGGTAATAACCTTATTTTGAGAAAGTGTTGCTCTTTTTCTGTCAAAGTAAAAATTACGGATTTTCCTCTTCCAATCAGACTTTCACAGTCGCAGACATTTCTTTTCCCTTGCTAGTTTGTGGTGATCAATTATTGCCATCTTTCATCTTTGGATACAATGTTGAAATCAATGAGTGTTGCAGTTGCAGCAGCTGCTCAGGCTGTTACTGATTCCATACCCGTCAAAAACTCAAGCTAGTTTTGAGTTTATTTGCTTATTCACATAATGGTGGGGCTCAAATTTAATATGACCAGCGTACTAACTGCTGTCTGTCTCAGTCATGTCACTCCTTGGTCACGGTGAGGATGAAAAGCCTGTTTGATATGAAGTAGCGGTACCTTGTCATGTCTGTTGTGCTTTGACACAGAAAATACATGTATCTCATCATCACTCACCAAGAGTATAATTTTCCAGGTCTTAACTTGCAGTTAATAGGATCCGATCTTAGTAAACAGGTTGAAAAATTTGACTGTTTCACAAAAAAGGTGACTCAGTAACTTCAAAGGAGACAGTAGTGATGAGGAAAATATTTGCATTTTAACAAAGTACATGCAAGCACATTGTACATGTAGGGAACTTACATGTACGATGCATTTTGTTCTGATGCTGAATCCAAGCAGATGAATGTGGCTCTAAAAATCCTTGTGAAAAATAACCACAAAAGGTGAGAATATATGTCAAGGGGGCAGGAAATTTAAGAACCAACAAATCTTTTTATACTGGTAGTTAGGCCTACAAGGTACGGAATCCTGTTAGTGCAAATTTGAACTATGCAAAAATATTTTTTATTCCAAATAACACAATAACATTGCAAAATAATGCAATAACTTTGCAAAATAATGCACTGACATTGAAAAATAATGCAATACTTCCATAGACATTTTGGGCACATTCGCATGGCTACTCTGGTTAACAAGAGTAGGATGTGTGTGTATTATACCCGGATAGAGGAGTATACTCCCCGTTAGCGAGAGTATACTCTCGCTGACCAGCTGGTCGCATGCCAAACGGGCGAACACACCCATGAGTGAGCAGTGCAGGTGATTTCCCTTGAAACAGTAATCGAGGAATGCTCAGTTATAAGAATGACATTATATGCAAATGATCACATATTGTGGATTTGGGCAGCAAATTATGGTATTATCATGAGTTTATAAGGACTCTAAAATGATGTTTGGCTTGTTACGGATTGTCTAGGAGAAAGAACAAATCATTGATTGTTGATGTTGCTCTTTTCACACTGGAGCAGATGCAGGGGCTGCATTTGAGCTAGCTACTGGTGCGAACACGATGCTACTGACTCCTGAGTGATCGAACGGTTCGAGTATGTGCTCCAAAAATGTCTGTAGATCTGTGGCGTTATTTCGCAAAGTTATTGTGTTATTTCTATAATTTCTATTAATTTCTATAATATGATTAAGGATCAAGTTTTTGTTTGTAAAGTGCATTGAGGAATCTTTAATTCATAATGTGCTATATAAATGCAGTTTTATTATTGTCTTATTATTTTTATTATTATTACGCAAAGTTAGTGTTTTATTTTAAATTAAAAACTATTTTTGCATAGTTCAAATTGCAGGGGTGTAAGTGGCCACTTAAAATTAAAGCTGAAAACAGCCAGCAAAAAGCTGAGATGTAAAATGTTTCCCATACTTTTATAAAGACCAGGTGTACAAAAAGCTGAAATTCAGGGTCAACATCTAAGCAAAAAAAGCTGAAATTAGCTAAAAGCTGCATTCTCACACCCCTGAAATTGACACTTACTGGATTCTGTTACAAGGTGAGAAATGACATGAAAAAGACATTTAAAGCATATTCCTAAATATCGAAACCTTTAATCACTCATTGCAAATAATGGGGAAATTCCAAGCAGTTCACCAAGCTGTCTTTTGAACAAAATATTACAAATATATATACACTATACATTGACTCCATCACCCTAAATCTGATGTTGAGGGGTATCAAGCTGGAGGGTGGGGATTTTATTGCTACATAGTGAAAATCCCTGTGTCTATAATCAGGTGGGGCTACTCTGTGGGGGAGGGGGAAATTTATATGGGCATAAAGATAATATCCGTTGAAATGAAACCTTTAGTTCTGATGTTAATCATTTGGCAAGGGTTTGAATCTTCAAAAATAATGGAATAATTTGGTTTGGCCAGTAAAACAAGTACCGGTATATCAACCCATTCTGCTGCATGTTATGTAATCTGCCCCTTGGAACATTCTTGTGTAAAGCCTGTCTGTACCAGACAAAATCCAGTTGTAGGCAGATCGCACCCTTGGCTAGGAAAACAAAATTACCTGATACAACCAGCCCCAATATGTGATAAATGGAGGGCAATTATTGATAAGGAAAACCTTATCAAGGCCCTTGATGCTTTTGACCAAAGGTGATATTGTCATTGCAGATGTTGTGCTGCCATAAATTTACACTGTAATCCTGAAATAGAAACTTAATTAACCAAAATGTTGGTTCAGTCAATTTTATAACCATTAATTCAGCCCAAGGAAAGCCGGGAAATCAGGAATCTGCCCTGCACATTTGAACTATATTAATTAGCACTTTTATCTTTTGACCTTTATGGGGGGGGGTATCAAAGCCTGCTTGAGTTTGTAGTTCTTACACCCTCTTTGGCATTGAAAAAAAAAATAAATAGAGAAACTTGAACATACAGTAGGGGGCTATTATATCTTAAGTTTAAAAGAGGGTTACGTGAAACACTATTTATGATATGAGACATTTATTCCATGGGCTTAAACTGCATTGATGTACAAGGTATGGATATGTCTTGAACAGCACGATTTTCAACATTTATCTATCACCAAAATAAATTATTCTTGTCATTGTTAGAAATTCATGTGACTTTTTTATTATTTTGTTGTGTCAAAGCAAAAATGTTGCATCTCACTTTCGAGTAGTTTCAAGAAAATATGCATCAATAGGTTTGCAGTCTCCCAGTAACTTTTTGTGCCAAATTTAATCACAGGAAAATGGAACTTGAGGCAGATAATGTATTTACAAACACATTTCCTTTGTTCTGGGCTTCAGTATCTTGATTATTTTTATATAAATGATATTTGAAGGGAGCAATATAAAACTCCCCCATGACATTTCTGCTTGAACGACATGCTACACATATTTTAAGCTAAAACCTTGTAACATGTTGAGATTCGACATTTTTGCATCAACACACCTTGATGGCCCATTTAGGAGATAAATTTCATTAAGTTACAAATTGCATGTATTACTACAGAAGCCCCAAATCATCTCGGGTTCAAATGAGATTTCCCTCACCTGACTCAAGCCTGTTTAAAAAAGAAATCACATAGCATCTGAATCAGTGGCAAATGGTATTCTGTTTTTCATATTTTCTGTTTTGATGCATTTTTATCATAAAATTGAACGCTTCAGGGTTAGATTCAAGTTGTGTTTGGTAAGCTTGATAAAAGGGCAGAAATGAACACATTTATGTTGCGTCTTGGGAAAATATAAATTTTAACGAATTTTGAGATAAAACATTTCTGCAAAACCCTACTCAACATGTATACATCAGTTTGAGCTAAGTGCACTGATATATGTTTGAGCATGAATGTGAAGTCGTGTCAGCTTAAATTAATTATGTCATATAATTATGCAATCAATTTATTAATTTTTTCAATTAAATTTACCAATAAAAATCTTTCAGTAAATCTGAATCAAAATTCAAAAATCAAAACATGCAATCACCATCCGTTTTGCACCGACATTACAATATAAGAAAAAAATTCTGATTCTTTTGCAATCTGAAAAGTTTTTCTTGCCTTTGATTTTGGTTTTTATCTGTTATGAAACACAAATCTAGAAAGCTCAATAATTTTTTCCCTTAGCTGCAGTACACGTACTGGTGCCAGTAGGTCCCAAAACAAACAAAACAGCTCTTTGGGGTAAACAAAAATCAAAACAAACAAAACCCTAAGAAAACCGCAGAATTAAATAACAGGTTAACACTCTACCTTGGAAGAGTGGACATATCTGCCAACTCATTATACAGCCCCTTGCCATGAACTGGCCCAGGGTGATTTCCAGAAGAAACATGGGGATGCCTGACATCAGCAGGCAAAGAAAGTACGGGATCAGAAAAGCACCTGCAAGGACAGAGAAGAATATAAAGTTGTGTGCATACAACATTTGTGAGCTACCATTTAAGCACTGCCTGTCCTTTCCCAGGAAACATTTTTTGAAACTGACACCCCTTGGTGCTGTCTATGGCCATAATTCCCCTGCAACCACTCTTTATGGAAAGAAAATGTGCTCACCACAGATGAAGATTTTTATCACAGTGTAAAAAGGGAGGCCTGTAACTTTTGACGAGCAAACCCTGCCTGTTCAAATTTTGTTAACAGTCCTCAGGGCAGGTGGACAGCTGACTAATGGAGACATCAGGTGCATCAGGGTGGACGCTATGACCAGATTGACCGATTTCCATTTTTAAATTAAAAAAATCAATTTCCATTTTAATAAAAAAACTGACAGGAATACTTTGTTCCATCAATTTTTCAATTGCAAAATGGAATGAGAACTTTCTAAACATTAAGTGCTCTACTGTTTCATGCAAACTACAGCCTGCATACCCATTCACAAGAATTCAATGTATTTTGGGTGTTGAAACACTTGCAGAAATTTATTTATCATGGGGGAAAATATATTGTTTTGTGTCCGGGTTTTGAAAAAAGGCCGCCACAACTAGGGCATTTCCTTTTTTGGCTTGAAGCTGATTACAGCAGGTGCAGTTAGTTTTTATATTTCCAACAAACACTGGTGTTTCCACATTCACTGACTCAGAAATGAAAGTCACATAACAGAAAAGAGAAAAGAACACTCACAGCACAGTTGGCTTACTGGTTGGTTCGAAGTTTGTAGCACAGTTTTACAAGAATTAAAAAACACAGCTACTTTTAGTAGGTGCATGTATGAATTTTCCAACTGATGAGACTAAATGAAGGACACAGCTGTATTTAGAGATGGCATGAGATTGAACAGTCATCTGCATGATGTTTTAAGTGAAAATCTTAAGCTGAAAGTTCCAACTAAAGTGTTCTATTTCCCAGCTGTGTACACATGTGATGACAAGGTTTTTGTTTTACCTCAAGTGACCACAAAAAGGAAAGCAAGCACAAGCCCCAAACAGGGATTTTTTTATTTTGCCTTGCTTTTCCCAAATAATGGCAAAAGCAATTCAGAAAAATAACACAGAAAGAGCAAATTTTAAGGTACTTTAAACCTGCCAAAAAGTACAAAAGAGGCTCTTACAAATCTTGTACCCCATAAATTTCTATACATGAGAGCCAATTTGTGCCAGTAGGGAACCCCCGAGTGCAGAGATCGAGGACAGAAGAGCAAGTTGTTCGATTTGCGTTTAGGAACGAAGAATCCATTGTTGACTTGAAATTGAGCAGCCACCTACGTCATCTGAGGTCTCCTTGGCATGTTGCTCCTTCTAAATCTTCACCAGCATCTTAGAAATGGTACTACTTCCTTTCAGGGATTTTAGGTGTGGTTGGGATTTGCTAGCAGGTGAAAACATTTCGATACTCACTTTTGGACAAATTTGCATTCTGCTCTGCCCCTCCCCTGTCTAAAACCTGGATATATGCCACTGGACTTATCTGTGTACAGCATTGTCTTATGATGTACTCACCACCACCATTTTTGTAGCAGAGATAAGGGAACCGCCAGATATTCCCCAATCCCACGGCATACCCGACACACGACAGAATGAAGTCCAGCTTGTTGGTCCAATTGCCTCGCTCTGGGATTGAACACATCTCGCTCCCATTGTCGGCCCTTTCCACCCCATCTCCATTCAGGGCTCTTTCTTCCTTCTCTTGATCCGGATTCCCGTCACTGTTGTCACTCTCCAGTGGTGGGTAGGGCCCTGTTCCTTTCATTTATGGGACTTAGGGAGCTAGTTCCCTTGTTTTTCCTGCAAATCCACAAAATTGGTGGCATAAAATGGCAAAATATCTTTTTCTTCTCGGGCTCTTCTCCAAACATAAGAGAATTAGTTGCCCTTCTTCAACTGCCAAATATGGCAAGAATTTCACATTGTGTCTGCGTCCTCCTCAGAATGGTTAAAAGAACTGTCAACTGCATGAAAGAAAAAAGGCTTTTGGATTGATACATGGAACTTATTCAGTGTTAAAGTGTGTAACTAAAAGTAGTTGTACGTGTAGGTGTGCTTAAATTAAAGAACTGCCCACAAACCTCATCTGTATTAAAAAAAAAATGGTCAATCGTTAAAATGCTGGTGAAAGGCAATCACGATCACACTTTTAGCATTCAGAGGCTATCAGCAAAATCCAGTCCCAAAGAAATGACAACGGTGAAAGATGTTTTCCCCAGCTTCTAAAAATGAAATCATGCCATAGCTCCATTCATTCAGTGGGGGGTAGAGGGGAAGAGTTCTCCCAAAGATAAGTTGACATTCCTCTTTTAAGGATTAAAGGGTCCAGAATTTTAGAAATGTGACAGCATTGTACCACCTGGGGGGGGTTATGAGGATTTGCTTAAGGATAAAAAACTTTGGTAAGTCACTTTTAGAAAAGTTTCCATCCCCCCCACACCCTCGCCCAAAGACCTGGATACACCATTGCTCCATCAGGCTGTGGAGAAAGAAGATGACAGTATCATGAACATGATAAAGGGGAGAAACACACCTCCCATTTTGAACTTTTCAACAAATTAATGAATAAATGAAACATCTATTTCAATGTTGTCATTCTTTACAATAAGCAAACATGATTCACATTACTTAAGTACTGAGTACATGTCCATCAACTTGAGCAACATAACATAATGTATCATTTTACATTTGATAAATTAGATGACATTTAGGTTTAAAGGTTAAGCAAGAACGCTTTGATACCCCCAATCTATGGAGAAAAAAAAAACAGTCACGAGAAGAACAGATTACTTTACATGCCAGAATAATGCAGAATCCACAAAGTCTTACAATTGCCTGTATCTAGCTATCAAAATGCCGAATAACTTTACTAATGCCAGGCGACTAAAAAGTAATGGAGGGTATTGTGCAAATTTTTGTGTAAAACCTGATGCTAATTTCCAATAACCGGGCATCGGCCAACTTTCTACAATGTTTCGCTACAAATGCGAGGCAATACGAATAGATTTGTTCAATTCCATGGTGGAATATATGCCTACAGGCCTAGGCCTACTCTCTGTCTGTAGACATCCGGTATACATGACCGAAGGCCTATTTATATTGTTTGATAATGATAAAGCACTTACCAATTGCAAGAATAACAAATTTAATTCCTTCGCGCTGGTTAAAAAACCTTTGGCTGCAGGAAAAAGTGCGCAAGTTCCCAGTGCAGACTGAGCAGACCGTGTGTTATGTGCCTATATGTTTTTGGATCAATGCTTGAACTCTTTTAAGTTGAAGTCAGGCTGTAGTAAATTGAAGTCATCAAATACCACATGAGTGATTTTGCACAATGGTAGAATAAGGCACCGTGGGAAGAAAAAAAGGGCAAAGTTTGCCCTTTTCCTTCACACAACCTATGCTGTATTTGCGATAAGGCTTAGGGTGGCCTAAAAAGTGTGCAGATATTGAAACGATGCCAACTGAACACACCTACGGTAAATACTTTATCAGCTTTATTAATATTGCCAATGAATCTGTAAAAGTCTTCAGAATCTCATCCACAGTTAATTTTTCTGCAGCTGCTCGCTGGCTCGGCATATGATGCACGTGCACTAGTAGACTTTGATTAAGGCGCCCGCGGCGAAATGGCTAGTCAAAACCACACGAACTGCATGCAATTAAGCCCTGCATGCAGCGCAGTAGCTGCGCTGCGCGTGTCGTAGACTGTGCGTTTGGGGCGTGCGGTTCGTCGAGTAGTCTTTCTTCGTGCGTTGGTTTGGTGCTTAAACTAGTCTCCTCCAGCTCCTCGCTCTTGAGCGACTATCCATTTCGCCGCGGGGGCCTTGATCAAAGGCTAGAACACGAGTAGGAGGAGGGACAACGTTCACTACAAGCGCACATGCACACTTCATTTTCAAGCAGACGACACTTGGTTTTTTTTGTGCAAGCAAACGAAATTTCCAACGACTGACCTTGTAAAATACCAAAGTGTAAAAGCATAAATAATTTTCGGGAGGATCTAAATACGACGCTACGAGCAACACAATTTTCCTCCATTAGTAAGATTTTTAAATGACGGTAATCTCAGAACAGTATAAAAAAGTGTCCCTTCTAACAACGAAAAAAATCTAAATTGCCAAATTTTGCACTAATTTCATCAATTAATTTCTGATAGAACATAAGTTTCTGAGACCAAAATCTAGCACCAAATTAAAGATTTTCCCTTAATGCATTGATTTCAGGCATATATTTTGAATTCCGCCGATAAAATTTTTAATAATCAGGTCATTTTTATTCACTCTGAAATCGTATCCAACAGTGCACGAAAATTCAAAGCCATTTTGTATCCATTTTTATGACCAAAATGGTATATTCAACACGAGGATGATGATTTTCTGTTAAATTGTACTGGTTTCGTTAGTACTGATACCATTTCATAATGTAGAATCGTTAAATTAGTGACATTTCCTGTTCATCACTTCCGCTGCTGTGGACACTGACCAGTGCGGTACCGAGACGGTGGTCGAAGTCGTCGCGTCTGCCCCCTTGGCCCAGCACGTGTGTGGTCATTCATTATGGTTTATTAAAACGTGAATGGGAGCTGTTAAGCTGAATTGAACATGTTTTTACAGTTTAAAAACCATTAAAATATTACAAAATAATAACAAAAATAAACCTTAAATCGTAAAACACAAATACTGATACTAAGAAAAATGAAGTGTCACTTAAAATTTTTATCATAGAAGGTACTGCACTATTTTGAAATCGTTTAGTTTTACAACTGTATTGTCGTATTTCTCAGTATTCCTCAGATCATAAGATATTGGTTGTTTCGTACAAAGCCACTTAGTCCCAACTGCGCTTTTCTCCAAAGACAGTGCAAAATCTTTACACAATTTATCCCGTTTGTTTTGAAGTGTCTGTAAATCACACGCTTGTAAAACTGAATCGTATGTAAAATAATTACACTCCAATATAATTCGACATGCCCTCTTTTGGATAAATTCAATCCTGTTTACATGGACTTTTGACAGGTCTCCGTTAAAAACCACGGTACCATATTGTAACGCGAGCGCGGGACTTGCCCATGTTCAGCTACAGAGGGTGCTATCTGCGGAGCTCGCACGCGCGGCCAGATAGTCGTTGTTTGGCTCGCGTCCGGGCCGGACGGACGTGCTAAAGCTAGGCTGTGCTAGGTACTTTTTTAATAGGAGGTTACGCTGTATGGATTCGAGCGTGGGCCTTTGTACATACCTGAGTGGGACCACGGTGGGATACCAGGAGGGAACTAGGGATTAGTTCCAGTTCATAGGGGTGTGGGGTAGCCTGGGGAAGAATACTAGTAGCCTGGAGGATACCTTACGGGAGGGTCCAAACAACAGGAGGCGCGATGGTAGTGGGAGGCTATCTACGGTAGCGCTTAGCAGAGGCTTTGTGGGTACCACATTATAGTGGCTACCTGGAGGATGAAATTGTCTGATGTGATTGAGGTGTAAATAAAAGAGGCCCCAATATATTTATTTGTCCCGTCTGTTCTTGTCCTATCCGTAGTTGCCCTTTCTGTCCCCGCGGAGATTGTTGAGGCGCTGCCCGGTCAGCCCTGTGCACTAGTCACATTGGAATATAATTCCAATGATCCTAGCAGTAGTAACTTCCTTTAATCAACTCCAATTAAAATTGGTACTGATAAACGTGATTGATTTGAAAAGGAAATTGTCATGTTATAGCATTTGTTTGTTTTAAACCTCATATTCATATTATTGGTATTTAACCAATCCTAAAAATCCTTTAATACGTCTTGAATAACAGATGGTCGCGTGGGACTCCAGCAATCTACCAAGGTTAGGTCATCTACATACTTGAAGACCGAAATCGATGAATTGGTACATGCATCATTAATCATTATTGAAAATAGGATAGGCCCAAGTTTGGTACCCTGAGGTACCCCCAGCATGAACTGTACTCCATTCAGACCTGGTCCCGAAATATTTAACACACTGACGACGACAATCCAAAAAACTCAAAATCCAGCTGATAATAGTAGGCCTTACATTGAATTGGAATAATTTTATGTGCTATAATATATATGGTCTATGCAATCAAACGCTCGAGAAATCTGTTAAGACCACTGTAGACGTTGCCTTAGGATTTTCTGCATTTGCATAAATTTCATTAAGGAAAAACAATAAGGTAATGTGAAGTCGACAATCCGTGGCAATTCCCATATTGGTTTGGGCCTATACCCATTTCTATGTCTTCCAAAAGCCACTTCACAATAAACGATTCCGCAATTTTCGCAAAGTGGCTCGTCAGTGCGACAGGTCTTAAGTTATCTAAGGTTTCAGGATGCGACTTAGGGATTGGCACAATCTCAGAACATCACCACTGATTTGGCACTCAAGCACTTCTAAATGAGGTATCTAAAATATGAGTTAACGGATAGCACAACTCATGCGCGAACTCACGTATAATACGCACTGGTAAATCATCAGAGACACCGGCCTTAGCAAGTTTAAGTGATCTAAGTTCACGATATACCTGGTGAGGTTGGATCTCTGGCAAGTCATCCTGATTCATTGGAAGGAACGCTGGTAAGGTACACTGGTCAACGTAAGGTAAATCTGAAGCCACCGAACAAAAATTTCATTAATCTTATCGGCAACCAAACGAAAATGATGTAGGGTGTCCCCAAATTCCATACCAGGGATCGCAATTGGGTTAGGACCTTGCTCACAACCAGTCAATATTTTAATCTGATTATACCATGCTCTTGGATTGGTCGTTTTTAAATTACGAACCCGGGTATTATAGTAGGTCACCTTAGCCTTAGCAATACTACGTATTGTTTTATTTTAAAGATGACGCCATAAAACAAAATTCCCCTTACCGAGAGCTCGTTGTCTCTGGCGTATACAAGCTTTAATCTAGG